TTTGACTAGAAGTCGAAACAGATATCTATACGAGAGGGTAGATGCCAAAAAGAGCAGCGTGTAGACGGATGGAAACGACGGGTTTTTGGATCAGGATGCAATGGATAAAGAGGGTGGTCCAGAAGCTTATTTGAAAATCTAGCACAAGATTTGATTCGATCAGTAATGAGTTCAATGAATAATGAATCGATTATAATGAATAATGCACGACTGATTATCACTAAACAAAGACCAATAGTTCTGAAGTCTTGTTTTGAAGGCCAGATAGCACTACACTAAAGAGTTACCTCCCGAATAAGTGGTTAAGTAAGTACACAGTGAACTAAGCAGCACTTTTATTGAAGTAGGTTGACATGTAGCCAGTCTGTAGACAAGCCTCAGCGGGAAACACGTAGGCAGGTAAGCCGACAAACGGCTCAAGTGGGCATTCAAACAGTCAACGAATCAATCAGTGCGGACAGTCCAATACTAACATCCTATTGGCTGGAGTTGATCGATATTGTAATACAGTTAGTCCGCATGAGGTGAGTGCGTGCGTGTGGTAGCAGGCGACATTGGTCAACCAAGGGATGAAAGAAAGAAAGAATCAATTAGTCAATCAATCAATCAATCACGTTCATGGGGTTGTTCAACCCAAATGTAAATTAAAACAAACCTTCAAAGTGTTGGAAATCTTCACTCACCACGGGAAGAGAAACATCTATATGATTCATTAAAGCGACATTAAGAGATGGAGTTTGATAACTCAGAAGATCTGTTTGAAGGACAAGTAGGGGAGATGTTTATATTTCAGAGTGCAACGGAACGGTTAGTAAACCCAAAAGACTTGAGCAACTACCGTATTCAAGAATTCATACGTCATTGTTTCCAGCATAATTTATGGTACCAGCTCCAGATCTAGGGGGTGCAGTGGGACGATTCACACGGTGGGCAGTGAAGTCAGCGGGGCAGGCGATCTCATCATCTACTATGCCCATGAGTGAGCAGGTCTCCCGGATAAAAATGACTTCGAGTTGGAAGTATTTGTGACGAGATTCACAAACATCTAACCCATATTTCAACTGATAGTGATAGAAATGTACTCATGGAAAACATTTTTCTTGCAATTGGTTACTTCTCAACCACTTCAATGCTTCTTGCAATGTCCTTGTGCGATTTCGTGAATACATTCGTATTTATTGTCAACAGACTTGTCCAGAGTTGGGGCTTTAAACTGTTGAGCTTCTCGAGTAGCGTAAGTATTTTTCGTAACAGACAGTTCTGCCCCCCCCCAGAGAACGATTTTTAGCCCATGTCAATCGAGAATCTAAATTTGTGCGATGCTATTGACTATTCTTGCATTCCATCAGTTCGATTTGCAATTTCTCTGTAAGACAGAATTCGGTGATGCACAACCACATGACCTCAGGTTGGGCTTAAATCGGTTTAAAAATTAAATCCCTAATTTGATAATACTATTGCCCAAAGTTTGTCAAGTACTGTTTTAAAAGCACCGGTCGGATTAGAGATTACCACCTTGTGGGGTGATCGAATTCGCCCGGCTTTTTGAAATTGAGATCACCCCAAATTTCATCCTCGTTTAGTTCCACTGTAACCTTCAGCTGTATCTTCAAAGGTTCGGGATCAAGGGGAATAGAGCGTACATTTCAGGCCTGATAGATTTGGAGATTCCTAAACGTTTCCAACAGGTTCCCTTTTGTTTGACTCTGTGCGTAAGTCCTCCCTCGTTACTCAGCTATCATCCTTGTGACCAGAATTAGGAAGGGACCTGAACATTCGGCCGCCTTCCTAGAGGTACGGTAATACACAGCACAAGGTGACTTTTAGAAACAATCTATATTGATTTTAATGGACCATCCTTCGGACTACCTTCACTCACAATCCTCAGTTCTTCCAGCTAATCATACACTCGGAGGCACTAGACTAGATTTCACATTCTGGTTGGTGCTCGTCAACAACACGATGAATCTTGTGAAGCCGAAAAATCGATCAGTTTCGAGAGATTTATAAACAGTTTAATAAAAATATGAGATGTCACAATAAATAGCTGAGGAACAACAAAATAGCGTTAATTGACTTTATTCTCAAACAGATATGTGTTTTACAATTCCAGAAATCCACTTACCAGTTTCCCGAACACGATTATACATTTTGTGAAAAAAATTACCCGTTAACCATTCACCGAAAATACGCAATACAAAAATCCAACTCAGTCCTCTCCCATATGTAAACTGTATTCCTACAGGTCGATTCTACCAGATATATTGCGCTTTGATGAGCCCACCAGACGTCAAAATGCTTTAAACTGTTGGTTAAATGACGCTCACATAATCCGCGCACTGCTTTGGCGATACTGGGACGCGACCCAAGGGGAGATTGAAGCAATGGTTCCACCCCCGGAGGGAAAAACGTCATGGAATGTACAAGCACCGTCGAGTGAGATCAATATTTTGTGTTCCTCTATTTCATTTTGATCATCGTTCGGCAAAATCCATCCCCTCCCAATAAATTTCAGTTATCATCGGAAGAAAGGCCACTACATCTTTGCGGTTTGATCGCTGATTCGCATCCCATGGATAAATCTTTCGGTTTCGATATCACTTAACCATTCATTTATTCTCTAGCTCTGTCTTTAATACAGGGTCCTCATATCCATCTATAGATTTACATGAGGCTGTTCTGACGAAACGTGCAATCGTGCATATCTAACTCTAAACAACTGACGTCTTTGGTCAATATGAACCTTATCGATGTTTATTTATCTTCGCATTTAACTCACAGCTACTTGTGAGTAGTAATATGGGATAATTGATAATTATTGATTTGAACTGACTATCCTTCGAACTTCAGCTTCACACGCAATTAATTCCCAGTTCATCGATTCAACCATACACTCGGAAGCACTAGACTCGAATTTTGTTCTTATTAGAGCTCATCAGTAGTGCATTAGTTACCGTGATGTGTTTGACTGCGAAGTCTGTCTGTCCGCCTCTGTGTGTTTAGATTTTCTCTATCACATAACGATTCTACTGCTACGCAGTTTGCACCAAACGTATGTTCAGTTAACTGAACCTGAAATCACATTATTCCTGCAATTCGAACTGGGTGAACACTATGGATACTAGCACCGATCGTTGTAGACAAAATTTCTTCCGACCTCCGTGGATCTGCACCATAGTGTGAATCTATCGATTCACATCAGACTCGCACCCGGGACCTCTCAGACGGAACGTGGCCACTGAGCAGCAGCTGATCACGGGGTTCGATTCCCAGCCGGTGCTGCAAATTGGTTCAAATGGAAGCACAGTACTTCTCCAGTGTGTGTAAATGAACATGTTGAGGACTGCCCGTGAGCAGAGTGGTTTGTCACAACGAGGAAGCCAAATTATTTTGACACAGATATTGTATTGCATTCTATTGTAATAAATTCTGCAAGCATGAAGCCCACATTTCAGATAGGATCATACCTACCCAGCACGTAATACTTGAACTGTGCACATCAGCACTCCAAATGGACTTTACCAACTCAACAGTGAAGAGGAGAAAAACACCATTTGTGTCCACAATTTTGTGTTGTCTGAACCACTGGATCGATAAAGTTTTTCATTTCCATGTAAAGCAATTGTTGGCGCAATTGTGTAGTAATTTATTTTTGCTGCATTATGCACTGATCACGAAATATGAGTCATAAATTAGCGATCACGGACGCCACGTAAGCACTGGATCATACTAGTACTAGAATCACAGTATCCCACGTTATCGAGACGCGAGGAAAAGGCCACGGGAATAGCAGGTCGTTTATTGAAAGAAATTGATCATCCAAGTCCTTGCCAATTGCGTGCCAGTATTTCTGGCATTGTTCAGCTTCTGTCTGGGCCGCACGTTTTCTGATTGGCTGGTACAATTGACCTATGGTCTGTAGTCTATAGAAGCTGTGGACAAGTACGCGCTTTGCTAACATCACCCCGTAAACTTGATTGAATACAGTTATCCGAAAACTGTAATGTGTCGCTCCGTGGTGTGTGCATCATCTCCTAGGATAGGATCACCACAAATTGTCTCTCTTCAAATTCGCATGAATAGTACGTTGTGGATCCCAGGGGATTTTGATATTCACACAAAGATACCTAAGCTCAAATATGATAAAAACAAGTGATCTAAGTGTGACGTTTTCTGTTTTTTTTGGAATCACACGAGTGAGCTTTGCATGACGGGTTGAATCAACTAGAGGTGTGTACATCAGAGGCTTTTACAAACGTGGAATGATGACTTGTCACACCAACGAACGAACTGGTGGAAAATGTTAGAAAATTGAACTCCAGTCTTCAAAAGTAATTAGTCACGTTGAAGAAGCTGATAGATGGGAAAAATAATCAAGTATTTCTACAATCGAGCGAAACAGAGGTTGTCCAGTGTAGTAGATTGGAGATAACATCATATGATGAGATCAACCCGGATGTCCTGCAGGTAAGTGGTGGGACTCGCGTCAATCTACAAAGAATCTGGGGAGTTTTCTTTCCTTCCAGCTTCTAATACATGTATTGATATTCTAACTATTGACATTTATGTGATTTCGTTAATTTTAGTCAATGAATAATAATGTAATTTCATCAACTGGATGTGTAAAAATCGCACAATCTACACTCAGACTAGCTCTCGGTCAACCGAAAGCTGCCAGAAAATATTTGGGATATGCATTGTTATGGTGGCGGGTTTGAACGTACCAGCTACAGGCTGACCGCAGCCCCAGTAATCGATAAGAGCATATGAAGAGCCACCGTCTCACGGTCCATTAATACTTTATAGTACGAATTGCATAATACGTCACCGGCATACAGAGGATAGTGAGCCGAGCCACAAAAAAGTTGGCTATTATCAGGAGCTCGGTTTAAAGTGAGCACCATCCAAAACTGATGCGAACCAGTGACACGAGGACTCAACCGGCTTGCTGACAATGAAATCAACGAGATTCTATCTTCTTCGACTTTGCCCTGTTAGAAATGCGCATTTCCGGTGAGTATCACTTGAACGCAGAACTGATTTCAATGCGGAACTTTGAGCCATGTGAAACGATTTGAAAGTCTTCAGTATGCAGCGAAAAAATGGGTTCAGGGAAATCTTTCATGTAGTCACACAACTCCGGTTCTTTGATCAAATTTCAAACCGGCAAAAAATTCTTTGATATTTAGGGAATAGAAAAATGAGTTTCACTTGTATTTACTCCTTTTATTTCTCACTCCTCTCTCACACACGTTCAGCCCTTGAAGCGCATGTCCAAACAATTCTTGATCAGAAAGTACAGAACGCGGACTGTTTTGTGGTAGTTCGTAATCACGAAGAGCAGCCCCAATCAGTGTCACGTAACAGAACGGAACTAGGTTCGGATACCAATCGACCGAGGTCCACCGCACGCATCTCTCCGGCCACGCCGGCCAACGAAGACCGGGGACGATTGCTACGCAGTGCCCAGGCCGATTTGCCAGAGGTCAATCAATTTCTTCGATTACCCGTGGAAGCCTCGCGTGCACGAGCCCAAAAGTTGATGGAATACGCGCGACTCAAGGTATTATGTTGACAGTCACAATCCTGGTGTGGTCAGTTGATACACGTTTTTTGTCTTCTCGTGAACGGGTCAGACGGGTTTGGAACAGATCGAAAAGGTGGCCAAGAATGTGCAAATTGTAATAGATCGGATATTAGAAATCCGATTCTCATTGAATGCTGCTGTCTTCCGTGTTTTATTGGTTGTGTTGATTTGAAAAGAAACGATCAACTGAGGATACTTCAGTTTCTGTGTCACTGACCGATCATGAGCATGATATTCTTTGGGGGTCATCCTATTCGGAAAGAACGGTACAAATACACACGCGTTACCGCTAAATCGGAATCCGCTA